TGTCCGAGGTCGTATACTAGAGTTGATCGTGTCCGAGGTTGCATACTATAGTTGATCGTGTCTGAGATCGTATGCTAGAGTCGACTGTGTCCAAGGTCGTATACTAGAGTTGACCATGTCCGAGTGCTATAAGCAAGAGTTCACCATTTCCGAGGTCGTATATTAGAGTTGACCATGTCCGAGGTTGTATATTAGAGTTGATCGTATCCGAGGTCATATATTACAGTTGACCATGTCCGAGGTCGTATATTAAAGTTGACCATGTCCGAGGTCGTATATTAGAGTTGAGCGTGTCCGAGGTCTTATACTATAGTTGACCCTGTCCGTCAGTTGGCAATCTGTGAAATTGTGAGGAGGGGGCAGGGACATGGTGAACTGGCTGTGTCTCTTTATTGTTAGTGGAATCGGGTCGTCTGATATAACGTATGGAAATCAGAAGTGGTCCACACAGTTCAAGACGTGTGACTTTTACACCGGTGTGACGTCGAAGAATACCAAAGTTCAGCACCAAGTACCGATAATGATCACACTTATTATATTACTCTTTTTAACATGGTAAATTCTCGCGACTAACTTGGAATTCTGATGAATTGTTCCAATTGACTAGGTATGGTTCAACGGGGCTTATTGCTTCTTGAATTATTGCCAATGACCTTGTAGAATCACCTAACAAAAGCTATAATTCGATCTGATTTGTTTTGCTTATTTAGAGAAATACGCTTATCGAATGACAACAGTTTTTAATAAGTACTCTTTATTATGTTGTAAAATCGTGTGGATTTTCTACTAATGTTTATCAGAAAAAAAGAGTCTGCTTTATTCACCTAAAAAAAACCAACCCAAAACTTAAAATTCTGGGAGCTATGCGACCTACTCAAATAAAAAATGGTATCATGTGTTCTAGAAAGAGTAAGTATAACCCGACTCGTGTATACTTATACCTTATGGATAACTGTAGCCATGGTTTGGGCCTGGGTATAATGTCAGTCTTTTAGGACTGCGTGTTCTTTGCTGCCGGCGTATTTTCGTTCATTACCTGGTGTAAACTTGATTCCTTTTCGCCAATTTCGCGGTGGTTGAGTGAGTTAGGCGCTGGCTCGCTAACCTGTGGGCTTCTTGTTCGGCCCCAGTGATGGGCCAGGACGTTCTTCGGGATTTTACGGTTTGGTTTCCATTTACACGTGTATGCGTGCAGGACGGACGGGCCTGACAAGGAAAATTGTCTATTTTATTGGATGATATGAAAAACCGGGGTCCCGTGTACACATTGGGAACGTAAAAGAACCCTTGACAGTTGGTATTGGAACTCAGAGCACAGTATATGATATATGCCCGTTTTCACTAGGCCGCTAGAAGCAGGAAAGTGGGCGGCGTTAAATTTCATTCACACATTCTCCGATTTGATTTCAAAAATCGAGGATTTTGTCGGTTAGAATCATTATATGTCGTTTATAACGATTTTCATTCCCTTTGATATTTCTAAAGTTTCTAATCTTGAAGAAAATCGTCAACTTTTACAACTGTTAAAACAGATTTTTTTTCTTTGTTGTTGTTTATTTTATTCTTGGCTATGCTTTGTTTTAAATTATAAAGATAAATACCTCATTTATCTGTTTGAAAATTTATTCCGCTACACGTTCGTGTGTTTTGGTGATAGGAGATATAGGGCATCATCAAGAAGCAACATAGAGGAATATTTTATCATCATTTTAATACATATGTCACACTTTCTGGGGTACCGTTTGACTAGTCACGAAGATAAAACCGTATCAAAGAAAACATTTAGACATAATTTAAAGGTACCTGGTACAAACTACTGGATAATCGAATATCAAAGAATAATTATTGCACATTTTGGGTGTTCTTGATGACATAAGATCGTCTGCCAAGCCTGTATATATACATATCTCTCATTTCCGCTCCGCTTTACATGTATCACGTAAGATACACCTATAGACAATTATTTAATGAACTTATTTCTCTACTTGTCACATGATACATCTATAAGCAGGCTTTGTCTATAATTTCCGTTGCTATATTTGTATCTTTAATTACAGTTTATGCAGTTTAGAAGAAGTTTAAAGACATAATAAGCCAAATCGTATAAAAATATCTTTAAAGTAATAAAATATGTACTATTTAATGCAAAGCTTGTTGTTATTAAGCACATCAAAGTATATCAAGAAAACACCTTTGAATGTTGAAGTAGGTGTTGGATTTTACGGAAAAGGATAGCAAAATTATTACTACTAGTGCACGTAAAAAAAACCCTCTTGACAGTTAGAATTCGATATAAGAGTAGGCCGTAGCGTCGCTGTCCGGGCACTAATTCCCTCATAGCACAGTGCATGGCGTAGACCTTCTTATGTAGCTGAGGCCATCGAAAATATAGAAAAAAAAAAAAAAACAAAAAAAAAAAAGAACTGCCACTGTCCCATGCAGATATGAAAGCTTTCATACTCATCGTCACGTGTCATGGATTATATCAAGTATCTTTGAAAGAAAAAAGAGCCAGAAAAAATAACTATCAAAAACGGTCAAAACCTCGCGAAGTTACAGGTCTAAATATAGTGAGAAACATTGTAACTCGGCAAAACAATAATCTGAAAACTAAAAGGAAATTAATGAAACTTGTATTGCTGTAATCGGAATGACATCCTGTTCCAGAAGTTTCAGAAAAATGTATCAAGCCGTTTAAAAACGGGACGGGTGAGAAAATGAAATGAAAATGGCGGGAGGGCACTAAAAAAAGGCTGGAAAATATCGAAAGATAAAATGAGATAACATCAAAAATTCTACACTGATCTCGGCTATCCTGAAACGTATTCATTTCGAAAATCGGAGACGAATCCTCCAAACTACGACCTATTGTGTTTATTTTCACGTCTGTTAAAGTGGATTTTTCACTGTTTTTCATGTTCAATTCAAAATGCTGACCATCGGTTGATCGAAATCAAATTTCTGCTCTGAACGTTTTTAGGCATTCCTTCAAGGATTCAGAAAAAGTAACTCCCATGTCTGAAAGTACAAGCCAACAGTTAGGCTGATGTCACCCGCCGAAGTCCCAAAATAAATAGATAACACATATTAATTAATCGCACATTTAATTTTTTTCAAAAGTATCAAGCAATAAAACTGATTATCAACTATATACCAAGTTTCATCACTCTCTATCAGATAGAATCTAAGTTATCTGGTCCCAAAGCATCGACCAATAAAATTGCTTAGCTCTGCTTAGCTTTAGCTCGAAATGTTAATCACTGAACTCAGTCAAGACATTCACCTAAGGAACATCAACATCACGTTTAAACATTCTACCCCAATTAAAAGCAGAGTTGTTATGGTGTTCCACCGTCTTGGCCAGTCAAATTGCTTATCGATCCTTAGCCTAAGCAGAAAATTCTCAATGAAACCCGTCATTAATGCTTCGCAGTTCTAGTTGTATTTGTAATACTTATAGAACATCGTTTTCGTACTTTATCCGGCAATGTGTTCTTTTTTCATAACAAACACCATTCGACACAATATATTTATTTCTATGTGGGACAAAAAATAAAGTGTTAAATTAATAGATTTATAGAGGTCTTTATCCCTCTCTCTCACTCTCCGTATTACATTCCTCGTACTTTATCCGACATTTTTTTTCTTAACAAACGTCATACTGCACAATTTATTTATTTATTTTTGGGACTAACATTAAAGTGTTAAATTATTATATTTATAGCCCCCCCCCCCTCCCCTATCTGTATAAAATGCACTTATAAACAGACCGATGTCTGTGGGTATACAGAAATCAAAGCACTATTCATTTTAAAGATACATTATGGGAGATTAGATAACGAGTTGGCAGTTCTCAATATAATAGTATAAAACAAGATAATGTAAAGGCAATTTGCTGAAAATTTCATTCAAATTGATCCACTATGAACCAAGAATTAAGTGATTGAAATTTCCGCCTAGCCTCGATCATCATTACTAAAGACGACACGACAAAAATCATAGTCTCGATTATCCATTTAATCATTAAATCGTGAAGGAAAGTTTTGCAGTAAACCGGATCATAATCCACTACAGATCACAGGCTAGCGATGCCATCGAGAGTTGATTATGGTCTGGGTAAGTTAATTAATGTTTAATTAATAATTTAGATAACATTTCAGGCCTAAAGAAAGACCTGCAATAGGCAGATTTAGCTCTTGCATAATGTATGTTTAATTTGTCAAACGTCGATCTTTTCATATCCAGCTAAACGTGTAATTAGGTCTTATTATCAATTACAACTATTAGAGAAAAAAAATAACAAAATATACATGTACCAACATTTATTACTTAAAAAATGTGCGTGGCACTTCCATAATCATATTTTAAAAATAAAAATGTGAACACTAAAATTTCAAATTAAACCATTTTTATGAACCGTCGAATGCACTATTTTAGAGCGTAACCTTTAAAGCATTGGAATTCTTTTTTTGTTGTTGTATTTGTTGGTTTATTTTTTTTAGGCTACAGACTACTGAAATTACTATTATATTACACAGAGCTGATAATCGAGTCTATATTTTACTATGAAAACAATGTTCAACTCTTTATTATTCTAGTAAAACTATAGAAATATAAAGTCATGGGTTGAATCAAATAAATTGATAAGCTGGACTTGTTGACAAGGTCCTGAAGTTCACCATATTCGCATGCCTTTTGTTTACATTGGTTTTCGCTGATTCTATTCTGCGCTTTGACGTTTCACCCACCACCGTTACCGTATGTTAGACGAGGTTCTCCACCAATTTAGCGTCTGCGCGCGGTCTAGCGTCAAGGTCACAGCGATATTCACACGTAAAGGCCAATCCAACTAGTCAACGCCAAATAGTCGTTTATAAAAAATGGTGGCTTAGCGCAAAAATTAAAATAAACGAAAATTATTATTATCATTACTAACTGCAGCTTTATAGGCAGGAAGTGCAGTGTGTCGGAATCCGTCTTAGTGTCTTGTTATTCGTGTCTAGATAGTCAACAATGAAAATGGCGTCGAATGGATAAACTCATATCTCATTAGAAGCTAAAAGGTCGGTACAATAAAAAGTTATTAATCGATTCGGCTGAAATTTGGTGTGAGATAATGGTTAGTGTCTCGTAACATCCCCTGAAAATTGCAAGTATCTACGACTACGGAAACTGTGTGTGTGAGTTTGTTGTATTTTACGTCCGCTTCCACCGAGGTGATGATCGCAGACAACTGGGGCTAATACAATCTATAGTCTAGTTATTAAATCCTACCAATTATGCGGGTTTGGATGGCTGAATGGTTAGCACGTGCGCGCTGTATCATAAAGTCTGTCATTGAGTCAACTGGCATGGTTTCAATTCCCCGGTTGTATGTGACAAGGAGTAGGGTCGACTGCCCAACCTCGTGGGTTTTCTCCGGGTTCTCCCACTGCTAAAGACCCCTACGCGCTAGTTCAGCTCTGAACGTAGGACTCCTTACACTTGCCCTGTACTTCAGGAACAGTCCTATTGAATCCATGGCGAAAAAATGTCACTTCGCAGTAAATTTTACTGCTAAACGGTTGCGTGTCAGTCCCTGTGAACGCCTGAACAATGTAAATCAACATCTTCTTAATGAGAAAATAAGACCTTGCTTACCTCTCTAGAACCAGTATGAGCGACACAACATGCTGTTAAAAAATACGCCCCTGTCTTCTAACCGACTTGACCGATGCCATTGAGGGGGGTTGGATGGCCGAATGGTTAGCATGTGCGTGCTTTATCATAAGGCCTGTCATTGAGTCAACTGGCGTGGTTTCAAATCCCCGGTTGTAAGTGACAAGGAGTAGGGCCGCCTGTCCAACCTCGTGGGTTTTCTCTGGGTCCTCTGGTTTCCTACCACTGCTAAAGACCCCTTCGCACAAGCGAATTATGGAAATAAGATTGAACCATATGTTTGTCCCAAAATGACCTAGTTTGTGCCGAGTGGACGTTAAACCCCATTTCTCTCTCTCCTACCAATTAAGCGAACTTTCTCAATAATATTCTCTATATTTGGGGAAGAGGCGATGGTTTCTGAATGTCTGTATGTACATGTAACATATTAGTTTCATTTGATTAAAATATTGTAGTTTCAAAACGTTACAGATAATTCTTCAGATGAAATATATGGATATGGAAGTCTCCAATATATCAAGAAATGCTGGTGATCCTAAATCACTTCTGAAACGTTTCTATGAGCTACAAACAGAAAGAGTTCAAACTTATAAAATGTTTGAAGAGTAAGTAGTTTTGGATACTTATTTTGCATATCTTTGAAAGACATACTGGTGTGGTATCAGATTGGTGATCACCACACTTTTAACATAGTAATAATAATGTTTATTTAATTTCAGTAATCAACTAGTTCAGATTCCTTGTATGTTAGTGATGTTTTGGGTTTTGACAGCCAGTTAATTGCCCTTAAAGGAAACCAGTTTTAATTTTAGTTAAAGATAGTGTTTAGTTAAAATTTGGATAATGGTTAACTTACATGTCATTTTGTTACTAAATATTGTATAATCTAGCTGACATGCTTTGAGCTCATTCTTAAAAGTTGAAGCATACATTATATACAAATTACATCTATGCATACTTCAAATGAATGAAATTGGGTTTAACTTTCTACTTTTTTGTGTGGTTCCCCCTTGTCAGTGATGCTGGAAGGAGGGCCTGACAAGGACAGCTGTCTAGTCATTCGGATGAGACAAAAAAACAAGGTCCCGTGTACACATTGGCGTGCACATAAAAGATCCCTTGACAGTTGGAATTCGATATAAGAGTAGGCTGTAGTGCCGCTGTCTGGGCAAAATTTCCCTCATAGCACACTGTATGGAGTATGCCCGTCTTCATTAGCCCAGTTCGGAGAAAAAAACAGTAGGACGTTAAACCCCATTTCATTTCATTTCATTTCTACTTTTTTGCACCTAAATTTTATTGGGCTAATAAAGGCATATTGTGTATTTTAAAGAAGAAGATAAAAGTATGTTTGTATATTATGAAAGAATTTATTTTTTTCTGGATTTCAGAGGTTTTCAAGCTTATTTAAATAGTGCACCATTGTTCAATTTTCCATTGTATCGCCAACTTGTTCATGAAATCACTCAAACATTTTTGAAAATCTCCCAAGAAATAGTTGAAATTGGAACCAATTTACATGATGTACATCATTTACACACAATAGCCAGTTATATAAGTAAAATACAAGAAAGAGAACAAAGCAAATTAGACCTGGTTGAGTATATATTTTCTATACAGCCACATTTCAGTGTGTGTGTATTCTGTTATTACCCATGTCTGTTCTTCAGTCTCTCCATCAAAAATTAGCTTGTGAACAAGAGAAGGTTTTTTTCAAAAATGGTGTGAAGCATAGTGGTCATGAGAGGACCATTCGGCCATCCCCCCACCCTTTTTTTTTGTCTAGAAACAAGGCACCTCTAATCCTCCATTTATATCCTAACCAATGGCATTTATACAATATGCCTTCTTTGCAGTCTTAATAACTATTATGGCATTTACAATCAGCTACTTTATCTAGAAGTGACTGTTCATTACTCGGAAAAGCTAATGTATGATTAATAGCTAATAATAGAGAGCAAATGGATGGATATATTGCCCAGTGAATGTTTCTTTAAGGCGCTGGCTCACTACCTGTGTGGCCCAAGATAGTTCCTCATTATTTTTCAGTGTGGTTCTCCCTTGTCAGTGGGGGGTTGGAGGGCTGAATGGTTAGCATGTGTGCACTGTATCATAAAGTCTGTCATTAAGTCAACTGACGTGGTTTCGATTCCCCAGTTGTATGTGACAAGGAGTAGGGTCGCCTGTCGCCTTGTGGGTTTTCTCCGGGCCCTCCGGTTTCCTCACACAGCTAAAGACCCCCTACGCGCAATCGAATTATGGAAATGAAATTGAACCATATGTTGGTCCCAAAATGACCTAGTTTGTGTCGAGTAGACGTTAAATGTTCAAAATACTTGGATGTGAACTTATTTGCAACACTTCAAATCTTCACCAATCAACCATAGCAAATATCAATATGTTAAAATTATATTTGGAATGTGCTTAACTTTTTCTATGACATATCTAAAATTGGTCCTTTTTATACGTCCACGTATATTGCCATCTCCCCCGTCCGTCCGTCCGTCCATCGTCCACAATTTCTTGTGAATGCTCTAACACCAAAAGTTATCATCCAGTTGTTTTAAAATTGATATATGTTGTTTACATTAGTGAGATGAAGAGGCCTATTTAATTTCAATAACGCCAAAAGTTATCATCCTATTGGTTTAAAATTCATATATGTTGTTTACTTTAGTGAGATGAAGAAGCCTATTTAATTTCAATAATTTCCGCTCATTACGTTTAGGGTCATGGCTCTTGTTTCACTTTGTTGAACCTTGTGAATGCTCTAATGCCAAAAGTTAACATCCAATCTTTGTGAAATTTATATGCAATATTTAAATTAGGAAAACGAAGAAGCCTATTGAATTTCAGCAAATTCCGTTTATTACTTCTAGAGTTATGGCCCTTGTTTCACTTTGTTTAACTTTGTGAACGCTGTAACGCCAAAAGTTATCATCCCATCTTTCTGAAATTTATATGCATTATTCAAATTAGTGAAACAAAGAATCCCATTGAATTTCAGCAATTTCCATCTAGAGTTATGTCCCTTGTTTAACTTTATTGAACCTTGTGAACGCTCTAACGCCAAAAGTTATCACACAATCTTTGTGGAATTTAAATATGCATGATTTAAATTAGTGAAACGAAGAAGCCTATTTAATTTCAATAAATTCTGTTTATTACGTCTAGAGTTATGACCATTGTTTCACTTTATTGAACCTCGTGAACACTCTAACATCAAAAGTTATCTGCCGATCTGTATGAGATTTACATGCATCATTTAAATTAGTAACAAGAAGAATCCTATTGAATTTCAGCAATTTCTGTTTATTACTTCTAGAGTTTTGGCCCTTGTTTCACTTTGTTCAACCTTGTTAATGCTAGATTGATGAAAGTTATCATCCGATATGTATGAAATTTATATGCATCATTTAAATTTGTGAAACAGGGTCTATTGAATTTCATCAATTTCCGTCAATAATTTTTAGAGTTATGGCGGTTGTGAACCCTGTAAACATTTGATTGAATGACAAAAGTGATCATCTGATCTGTATGAAATTTATATGCATTATTTAAATTAGTAAAATGAAAAAGCCTGCCAAATTTCAACAATTTCTGTAGATTACTTCCAGGCTTGAGACCCTTGTTTCAGTTTGTAGAACCTTGTGAACCCTCAAACAGCAAAAATTATAATCTGATCTGTATGGAACTATCTTGTAAAGGCCCCCAATTAACTTCAAAGCAATAAATATGCGACAACCCTTGTCAACCGCTTGGACGATTTAGCTGCTGTGGACATATGTTTCGTTGCCTGGCAACCTATCTTATGTATATTGCAGACTGCTGGTTTACAGTTGTCAAGACAACATAAAAAAGATCATCCTGATGATGTGAAATTTCAAACCGAGATAACTGAAACACAAGCAAAGTATGTATGATTCATGTTGATACGTCCACATGAAAATGTGGTCATATTTTGTCGTCGCTTCAGTCTATCGGCCATATTGAAGAATCCTATTGAATTTTAACGATTAAAATAGAAAAAGTCTGTGCATTACTAGAGTGGCCCACAGCCTCGATTGTTTGTACTATATAAACTGACCTGTTTTAACAGCATCTTGTCTAACCGATCAAAACATCCGATTTTGATGAAACTTGAAAATACATGTTTATAACCGAAAGACCTTGGTTCCTTTTGATATTCGTGCAAATTGGATCATAACTTCCTGAATTATGGTCCTTGATTGTACAAAAAATCACGTTTTTAGCTTGTGGTCCCTCTAGAGGTCACAATTATTATCAGATGTAAAAAAACGTTTGAATATATCATTATTTCACTGTAGACCTATATTTTATTTTAAGTTTTGTCAAAATCGAATAAAAATTGGGACGTGTCCACAAAAAAATTGTGGATGTCCGGACGGACGGACAGTGGCGAGACAATATACGTTCACATGAAAATGTGGGCGTATAACAAAGAAGCCTATTGAATTTCAACAATTACCTCTAATTACTTCTAGAGGTGTGGCCCTCTATTAAAATGATACCTGAAATACTCCCTTTAATTGAAAAAAAAGTAAATCTGCAAAAATCTTTGTCGCCTGCCTGCTCGATTTAGCTGCCGTGGGCGTGAAATGAAATGGGGTTTAATGTCCTACTGCTATGCTCCAACTGGGCTAATGAAGATGGGCATACACCCATACAGTGTGCTATGAGGGAAATTTTGCCTGGGCAGCGGCACTATGGCCTACTCTTATATTGAATTCCAACTGCCAAGGGATCTTTTACGTGCACGCCAATGTATACATGGGACTTCAGTTTTTCGTCCCATCTTAATGACTAAACAGCTGTCCTTGTCAGGTCCTCCTTCCTGCACTACTGACAAAGGGAAAACAGGTCTGAAAATCCTGATGAACCTTCTTGGCCAATGCTGGGATCGAACATGTGGGCGTAGGTTTCATTGCCTGGAAATCTCTTTCAAAATTCAAATCAACTATATTTCTTTTAATTCTGAAGAAACTGTATTAATGTTTCATTCTGAAGAGAGTATTTTAAACAAATTATCCTTTTTTTTTATCCAACCCACAGTATAATGGAGGTAGAAGAAAACATTAATGAAATTTTAGAAGACATAAAATATGAGTCAGAAGATTTATACTTAGAGGAGAATAGCTGATGTCCCCCTTCGAAATCCCGAAATAAATAGATAACACATTAAATAATTGCACATTTATCTTTTCCAAAAGTAACAGGCAATCAAACTGATTATCTATGCTTAGTCTACACTAGTCTACACTGTTAAAAATATCAAATCGATTATCTATGCTTAGTCTACACTGTTAAAAATATTTTGGTTATACTTATATAACCCTAAAATTACGGGTAGCAAATGTTGCCCCTTAATCCTAGGTAAAATTACATCTATTAGTTATTTAACTTTTTGCTGTAAATCGACATAATGTTAATTTACATTTCTTGTAAAAATACATTACAATGTTAATTTACATCTTAGGTTAAAAGTACTAAATATTGGTAATTTTACATACAGGTTACGGGCAACAAAATAAAATAGTTTATAAAACCATACCACGAAAACGTAAATCAAATATGTATTTTGACAACCAATGAAATAATTAACAACTGATTGGTGCCTAAATTTAAAGTCAATCAGATGTTAAAGGAGCTAAATCACTAATATTTGGGACCTAGAAATTGACCCAAATGGGTCGCAACGCATATAATAATGTAATCTGATTGTATATAAACTGATTTACATTCAATTGTTTCCTTTTTGACTCTAATTTCAAATCAGTTATGTCTAGCGAAATACGGCATTAGTCTCAACCGAATAGCAATTTCTAGCGTCTGGTTATACCAGTCTATTGTGCATGCTCTCCAGATAAGACTTTTTGATGTGATTAGTGCTCCTGCGGCTAGTCCGCAAGACTTTTTGATGTGATTAGTGCTCCTACGGCTAGTCGGATAACCGTAAACGATTAGAAATGGAAAGTTAAACTGTTCGAATTGAATGGTACGGTTATTCTGAGATGTCCCCATTAAATAGAAATATCTCCCATTACAAACGTTTCCATGACGACAAAACGCCATTTTGAAAATTAAAGCATGTCAACTAGAAAAGCAAGCCCCGTTTGGCATTAGTGCGATAAACTTCCGAAGGAGGATAAGGTCAAATGCACTTTGTGCAGCACAGTACTTGTATGTAGGAACACTACATCGTGTCTTAGGAACCATTTAGCTTACAAGCACCCATCAATTTCTTTATTTCGGCCAACCCCGCCACAACAACAAACACATCTGCCACGATGAGTACCGGTACAGCGAATACGATCGATGATTCTGACAAGAATGAGAATTCAGTTGACGATACCACAGTACCACACGGTCAGTCTAAATTGTCATTTTCAAGGAAAATCACTGTTGATTCTGACAGCTGGAAAAGTTTAGTGAAAACTTAAGTAGAATTCTGTGCACAAGACCCTATAAGTATTGTGAGTTGCGCCAGATGGTTTTCGAAGATTCTGCGAGATACTGAATCCTGCCTTTAAAGTACCATGTCCACAAACTATTATCAATCATTTGCAGTATTATTATGATGATTCAAAGTCAGAATTTATTAAAAGTTTAGCTTTTGATCAGACCAAAAATTACAAATAGTTTCACTACTGATACATGGACCAGCCTTGCAAATGAGGGGTATACTACCATTACAATTCATTTTATAGATTCTGAATGGAATGATCATCATAGAGTGCTGAACACACATGAAGTAACTGAGAGACACACCGGACATAATTTAGCTACTGATTTTCTTGAAGTGATGATAAATTTTGAAATAAAGAAAGAATCTGTTATTCCAATTACTGCAGACAATGCTGCAAACAGGGATGTTTGTTGTCCAACCAGTCATGGGTTTTCTCCGGGTCCTCCCACTGCTAATGACCATTAGGCGCAAGCGAATTATTGAAATAAAATTAAAACCATATGTTAGTCCCGAGATGACCTAGTTTGTGTCGAGTGGACGTTAAATCCAATCTCTCTCTCTCACTTAATTAGAACGAAAGTTATTGTGTCCCAAACCATCAACCAATCAAATTGCTTATTTGTGCTTACCCTAAGCAGAAAATGCTCCTCTTTGAACTCCATCAAGACATTGACCTAATAAACACCGAACATTATATAGCTCAATTAGAAGGAGGGTTATTGTCAATCTCCCAAACAGTTGTCTTACCTTGCAGTCCAAACAATGCTGGATAGCGAGACTTGTGTGGAGAGTGGGTTATTGTGTCCCAAAAAGTGACGTACAGACGGACGGGTGGACAGACAGGTACAACGGAAGTTATTGTGTCCCAAACTAGCAACCAATCAAATTGCTTATGTGTGCTTACCCTAAGCAGAAAATGCTCATCTTTGAACTCCATACGGCACTGACCTAATAAACACCTACACCAAGTTTGAACTTTATAGCTCAATTAGAAGGAGAGTTATTGTGTCCCAAAAAGAGACGGACAGACAGACGGGCGAACCTATTTTAATAGTCCCCTGCTTTCTTCGAAAGTCGGGGGACAATAAACAAATGCAATTATATAAATTTACTCATACACAACAATACCACTAGTAATGATAAAGATAGATAGATAGATAGATTTTATTACATAAAACACCCTTTTCGGGCAGCATGTAAATTATACATTATAGTCAGCATGCTAAATACATTATAAAGTGGATGAAAAATACATAAAAAAAAAATGGATGAAAAATATATAAAAAAGTAGATGAGAGATACATAAAAGTGGATGAAATGTACATTTATATACATTGAGGGAGTATGTGCAAAATATAAACCAAAGTTTTGAATATATGTCATAGTCGCTTAAAGCGAGAATTTCATATTTTCTAAGAAAGTCAAAACATAATTATTTCTATGTCTTTTGCTCAATAGGTTATCAACTCACTATTATACGACCATGGACATTATTTCCCACCCTTAAAAATCATTGACACAGGAAATAATAACACAATTACCTCCCTTGTTTTTCTATTGCCTCCATGCATTAGCTACCTTCAAACGTTGGAATTTGAAGTTGAAAATGATATTTTTGCCAATTTCTCAGCTGGCAATAGTGAATTATAGGATTAATAGGATTATTCTTTAACAAGGTAGGACGGTTTATGGATACCATCTATTTTAAGGCTTTATTTTAATAAATTTTAAAAATATAACTTAAAAATATGAAATTGCAGCTTTAAACAAAACGTGAAGAGGTCTTTGAATTGTTGGTTATTTTTATTTTTTATTTTTTTTTTAAATGTATATTATAATAACATGGTCATTATAAAGCGAGTTGGTATGGGAAAATGGTTTCTAATGCGTTGTTTTATTCACAGAATACATGTATTTACACACAGGTCAGAGCTTGTGTCCATATACACTATAGCAACGTCTACACTAGCAGCATTCACCGTCTACACTAGCCTTTTAAATCCCGGTTTTTTCCTAAAAGCCGGCTTTTTCAATTTCTCAATCGTAAAAGCCGGCTTTTTAAAATCCGGCAATTATTGAGGGATTTTTCAAAATCAAAAAGCCGGCTTTTTCAAAAAACCGGCAATTTTATGTGTGTAGACGGTAAATCCGGGATTTATCAAGTACCCGGATGTCATTATCTCTGCAAAATTGACTGAAGCCGATGGCGTAATAAATAAACCGGAAGTTCCACAAATAACGAAGGTCGGTGTTCATCGTCTTTTTCCGTTCAGTCAGTGTAGACGCTACACTTGAAAAAGCCGGGTTTTGAAAAAACCGGGTTTTTAAAAAGCCGGCTTTTTCAAGCCTAGTGTAGACGAAGCTTGTATGTGCCCATTATAACTGTACAAAATTAAACAAGCGGTTGCCATGCAAGATATGCCCACATTTTGCTAGAGATAGACAGAGAACAAGCTCAAAAAACGAAGCGGTTTTTCGTACAATCAGGGGTCATAATTCAGAAAGTTACGATCCGATGTATGCACGAATACCGAAAATAACCAAGATATTTGGGTAGTTTCATCAAAATCGGATCAAAATTCTGACCTCTAGACGGTCCACTCACCTTGATATACCATGTTTTTACACTGCTTGCGTACGTGGGGCGGCCATTTTGTCCGGCAGTTTTGGTCCGATTTTCACAAAATTCGAAATCAACCGTGTAACGGTGATATATTCAAAGGTTTTTTTTTTTGTTTTTTTTTTAAATTGGATAAAAATTGTTAACTCTAGAGAGACCACAAACTTAAAACGCGATTTTTCATACGATCATGTGCCATAATTCAGGAAGTTACGATCCGATATACGCGAATATCGAAAGGGGCCAAGATCTTTGTGATATAAGCACAAATTTAAGGTTGCATCAAAATCGGAAAAAATTGTGGCCTCTAGAGGGTCTACCTACAACCTTGATATACCACATATTGACACCATTTGCGTTATACCAGGGGCGGCCATTTCGAACTCGACTATCATTACGGTGTAACGGTGATATATTCACACGTTTTTTTAATCGGATAATAATTGTGACCTCTAGACTAGAGGGACCACAAGCTAAAAACACAATTCAGGAAGTTACGATCCGATATGCACAAATATCGAAAGGAATCAAGATCTTTGGATTACAAACATGTATTTAAAACCAGACTTTTATTTTATACAAATTTGAAATAGCGTGTAGGTGAAATTTACCGTTCGTTATCAAGTAAAAAAACATGCATCACACACTATTTTGACCTTTTAAGGAAAGGTAATAGTTTATCAGGTCACCCAAAGAAAAATTTGATCCAAAATCTTAAAAAGTTTTCGTTTCACGTACAAACGACTCAATATTTTGAATTGAAATTTTCAGAGAAGGTATATACACCATTGATCCCAGGGGCGGATCCAGGAATTTTTGCAGGAGGGGGTTTGCCAGGTTCCTGAGACAATGTATCCCCCCCCCCCCCCACACACACACACACGCATTGCCTCTATCGTCATTATGGCGTATATACACACACATTGAGCTTTTTAAACAGAGGAATTCAACATCTCGTTTGACGTCAATTTTTATTATGAATTAATACAATGACATTGTGATTCAATTTCTTGGATGCAAAGCATCAATTGTGATATCACATAATGTCTATATCATTATATCGCGCTTTGAGTGCCCATCCTGTCCCACATCTGACGATAAAGGATAAAGCACACGGTAGAGAAACATTTCTCATAAAAAGTTTTGATTTACAAAAATTTTTTATGTAGCTGAGCAGAGGGGGGCGGGGGGGGGGGGGCGACTATCATTACCCCCCACTCTGGATCCGCCCCTGGATCGTCTATATTTGGCTCTTACTTTCAATACGTACAAAGACTTATATCGGAACAGTCCCTTTAAACTTATTGTTCTGGGTATTTTTTTTCGGCGTGGGGGGGGGGGGGGGTATTATAGCCTACTCAAGGCCAATACAGTCAAGTTATTCTTAATCTGTCATTTTCCTACAATCAGAAACTAAGGTGACTTTTTTAAACCAGAAACGGCCTACCTCAGCTACTGAGCTACCTACATCTGAGAACACGTTCCCTTTAAATATTATCTTTTAAAAATGTTGAATAGCTAATTTGATAAATGTTGTTTCAATCAAATAATTAAAGAAAAATAATTTAAATCCTGCTTTATTCACCGTGAATAAGTTTTATTGGGAAGTAAATCGTTGGCTTGATCTAAGGGAAGCAACTCTATTTAAGAATTAACATTTCAGGTGGCGCTGAAGGCAGTGGGGAGGAGAGGAAGTGACGATTTATCATGAAAATATTAATGTTGATCATGTCATAAAAATACACATCATATGCTAGACTTAGAAATATTGTCATATATTTATTATTCGTTTACTTACATTGATATCCACGATGGCTGATAACGAAGAGAGAGGAATAAAGCTTGTCCAAGAAGCAGAGTCCAAACAGAAATCATCTAAGGGCTTCTTTGCATCATTACTTGGGTTGGTAAATTGTAAATAAATCAAAATTTAGATTTGTAAGTCAATGTAGATCAGTTATAAAGTCCATCAGGATACTGTTGTACCATATATATATATTGATTGAAAAGTAAGTCAATGATGTCGACCAAGATCTATGTAATACTCAGCAATATTGTCCATATGATAAATAGTCATGACACTGACAGTGATAATTATTCAATGAATAACTTTTAATAAGCTTACACAAGGCAAATGATTAACCTATTAAAGACACTTATCCTTATACCATTTTATCAAAGTTGAAACTCTAAAAGTCTAAAGAAAAGATCTGTCCAAAAATGGTTCAATGCTGTTCAGTATTTGCTAAGGATGTTAACGGTCACTCGGTTGCACTGTTGAACCGGTTCAAAAGATTAATAGTCTTAAATCGGTACTCGTTGTCATATGATTCCTGACCTTCAAACCAAGGAATGATAGCCACAACATTGTTTTCTTTCTCTAGGACCACATAAATATTTCAAAAAGCACTTGTCATATGTAATAAGTCACAGGAAGTTAAGGTCTTTAAATTCCTGCTTGAAGTTTTGACATTTGTATACGTTATAAGCACTGCAGCCAAGCATTAAATAGTCTCAACTGATTGACAAATTAATTGTTTTACATTATTAACCTCATCACTCCATAAACAAAGTCTCAAAATGAAACAAGTATGATGTGATGAAATAATATTAAAATAGACAGGATAGTAAAATTGTTTATAGTATCGCTCCAGCGTGCTGAGCCTGCGATGCTGTGTCAATGGGGTCAAAGTTGACATAAGGGTCACTGGTACCATACGATTCAGCATGTCATGTGATAGAAACGTGTAGTAAATTCTTTGGAATTAGCTGATGTTGAATAATCAAACTTACTTTGTATTTAAAAATCCAAAGGTATGCTTTCAAATACTGATTTCATAACTAATTTTATGAAGTATTAATGAAGCTGTTTTTATTTAAAAATCAACCTGATTTCAACTGGTCTATAGTGACATGTCAAAGTACCATGCAAGATGGAGAAATGAAACACCAAGAAACAATGAATGAATAAATGGAATTTGTACTGACTGTTAACTTAAAAGCTGTAATACTTATAATTTAAAAATATGTTATCAAGTCTTATTGTGATGCAACAAATATTTTGAAAGAAAATTTTGATTGGTCAGCCGGTTGCGGTTGGGTTTTTAACGACCAGTTAACCGGTTCAATAATTTTTGAACTGTTACTTACATCCTTAGTATTTACAAAGAAATGATGAATTGAATATTTTGCAGAATTTAACATCCTCTGCTCTGCAGACGATGTAAGCATGCCCGCATCACTATAAGGCCCCTACGCGCAAGCGAATTATTGAAATGTTGTCTTCGCTACCTTGTATTAACATACATGTATATTATTATAAACTTACTTTAATCTAAATAAATAGAATGTATAATATGTGGCTTCGCTGTCACTTGACTGAGAAGTGGTATTTTTCTTCACTGAATTTCACATTTCAGCATTCTTTGATGATGTGGGGGACCTCATGATTTTATTATTATATTTTTTCAGTGGTTCATCTAAAGTAGAAGATGCTGCTGAATTATATGTTAAAGCTGCCAACGCCTTCAAAATGGCAAAAAAATGGGCAGGTTGGTTGAACATATAGATAGCTTGTTATAATCAGGTTCAGAAGTACACGTTAGTGCTTTGATTTTTCAAAATTATTGGATGTGGGATAGTATTAAAGTTAATTAGATATATTTTCTCGATGAGAGTGATGATGCCTCTTCAAGATGGCAGGGTAAAATGAAAGTCATTATATTGAAAGTTAATTAAACATACATTATGCAAGAGCTAAATCTGTCTATTGCAGGTCTTTCTTTAGGCCCAAAATGTTATATGCTATTAATTAGACATTTATTAACATAACAAGACCATAATCAACTCTCGATGTCATTGGATATCTCTGATATTAAACAGATTAGAAAGGTTCAGCCATATTTTGATTTAGTCTAAAAATGGAGGAGCGAGACTTTGCTTTGAACAACCAGTACGGTGGTTGCAATTAATGTACACATATTGCCAAACCTTCAAAGGCTAATATCTTCACTCGCAATAGAGTAATTTGAATGAAATTTTCAAATTATTCATTTTACATTATCTATTTTCAAATTGTTATAGTAAGAATGGCTAGCATTTTATCTGAATCTTACATAATGTATCTTTAAACTTATATTGCTAAAAAATTAAGTTAGTAGTAAATCTTAGAATTATATTTTATAATTGATTAAAATGTTACAGCGGCTGGGGAAGCGTTTATGAATGCCGGTAAACTGCAATTACAATTATCTAGTCGTCATGAAGCAGCTACACATTTTGTAGATGCTGGAAATTGCTACAGAAAAGGTGATCCAAATGGTAAGTGTTGTTTTTTCAAATACATATATTGTATTCTTCATTTGTATTAATATGTATGTCTAAAATCTATGGAAGCCATAGTTGCTTGATGAGTATTGCACTGACTTGATTTACAGCAGGTCCTGGGTTTGATCCCAGTGGTGACAGAGACAGTTCTTTGGGATTTTCCAGCTTGGTTTCCCCCTTGTCAGGGACTTAGCAAGGAAACACATCTAGGTTTTCAGTTGGAAAATAAATGAGTACACTTAATTTGGAAGATTTCCCCTCAAAGCACACTGAATGGCATATGTCCTGTCTTCATTAGTCTGGTCTGGTTAGTACATGAAAATAAAACACCATTTTCATTTTACCTATACTGGGTAAATCAAATGCTAATTGAGGGAGTAGAACAAGTTTATTGTGGAGCTATGAAGGATTCCATGCTAGTCATTAGTATCTTGAAAGTGTAATCCTATTGAATAAACAGAGATAGTCATCAACTATGTCTAAAATCTCAATCATAGGATTCATTTATGATGAGTATATATATCCCAGGCATTGTTCGACCTTAAATTTAATATATTGAATATGGTTGTATTACAGATGCTGTGAACTGTTTAATAATAATTGATAAAATTTGTATTACAGAAGCTGTGAGCTGTTTAATGTATTGAATATATTTGTATTAATCAAGCTGTTTAATGTATTGAATATATTTGTATTACAGAAGCTGTAAACTGTCTCCACAAAGCTATAGAAATATATACAGATATGGTAAGGTTACTAGCTATAAATCATTACATTAATATCACCTACAAACTTGTATTAAAATTATTATAACAATTACAAGGCACATGATACTTTATAGGGCATTTGTTTACAATGACTGTCAATCACTCTCTGTAACCCTTAAACTTGTTATAACATGATGATATGATGTATAAATGAAAATTATTTATATGTTGTAGGGAAGATTTACTATAGCTGCTAAACATCATATAACAATAGCAGAAATATATGAAACAGAATTAGCTGATATGGAAAAGGTAAATATTATTCAGTTTGTGTATGTCAGAGGCTAGCATCCATCATTCCCGATTTTCTGAGGGTGAGTATGGTGGTTGTGTCGTAGAGACACTGGGCTCACAATCAAAATATCTTTTGTGCATCGAGAAAAACTGTGTACCAAAGTGGTAATGTACATAAAATATCCCTCGGCAAGTGGAATCTTAAAGAATAATCTACCGTTTTGATTATCCATTTTATCATTAAATTTTCAATCTCGTGGACATTCAAATACATTTAAATCTCTGCTACCCGATGTTCTAGAGAGTTGATTATAGGCTTGTCATGTTAATAAATGTTTAAATAATAATCTATGTAACATTTGAAGCCAAAATAAAGATCTACAATACGCAGATTTCGCTCTTACATAATGCCTGTTTAAGATATGGTTATATTTGATGATTGATATAGCAGTATTTATTATTTATATATTACTTGTATGTTTGTTTTTCTAGGCTATTGCTAATTATGAAAAAGCTGGTGATTATTATAAAGGTGAAGAATCTAATAGGTAGGTTTAAGTCTATACAAGCAGCAATAATTGTTGTAATTAATCAATCTTTAATTATACTATTTGTTCAAATGAAATGGGGTTTAACGTCCTACTGTTCTCCTCTCATTGGGCAAGCGAAGACGGGCATATGCCATACAGTGTGTTATGAGTAAAATTTTGCTCAGACAGTGGCGCTACAGCCTCCTCTTATATATCGAATTCAAACTGCCAAAAGGTCTTTAAACTTGCACGCCAATGTGTATACAGGACATCGGTTTTTTGTCCCATCCGAATGACTATACATTTTCCATTGCAAGGACCTCTGTCCTGCACCACTCACAAGGGGAAGGAAAACCTCACTAGAAAATCACACTGAACTTTCTCAGCCACTAATTGTTAAATCTTACAGTAGTATATGCAATATTTTAAAATAATGATGCACATTGTTTATCCTTCTAAAATGACAAAATTATTAAAGATTATATTCATGTGTAGATGTAAATTAATCCAGTATATTTTAAATATTTATCTTTCAGTTCTGCAAATAAATGTTTACTAAAGGTTGCACAGTTTTCAGCTCAGTTAGAAAATTATGAAAAAGCCATAGAAATATACGAACAGGTAGGTGGCCATGATGTAGTTTTTTTCAAAGAAATGAATCATTTTACCAGTATCAAATATGTAAGCTGTTTCAATGATATATAGTAATTGAACGGGTTAGGGCTAAATATTAAGGTCAACTGCAGATTTGGTCGTCAAAGGTCACAAGATGTAAACAGGGCTAGCGCTAATCCTAACCTACGATCTCGTCAACAATCACTTGCCCTTATCCTATTTTCATCTCACGACCTTGACAAAATTTGCAGTTGGCCTTAACATTTAGACCTGACCAATTGACCTGGAAATACACAGGTCACATTTCTATGGAATACAATTACTATTTATTACTGAGCAATGTTAAAGACTAGAGAAGCCTCGTTGAAAAGTTGATTAGTAATAAACAGTAATTGAATTGGGCTTGATAAAAACGTCAATCAGCAATAAACAGTATCTTGTGTATAGAAATCAAGCTGCTATGTCTATGAGTGATTTATATGTGATATAGAAAATCTCCCAAAACCTTTTGAAAAGCTTTGATGATTATCGAGACATATGATTGACTGTCTAATCAGGGTCATTGGTACTATTTTGTTTTAGAACGTGCATGTCTTTAAATGTTAATGGGGTGACCAACCCAACAAAAGTGACACAAATATCATCTCGTTTGAATTATATTGAACTGAAGGTAATCCATATTGTTGAATAATGTCACTGTGAAACCTTTTGTGTTTATTTTTATTCTAAAATGACTGTCAATATAATGCTACAGGTAATGATGTATTTATTTTTAGGTTGCTATATCAGCTATGGAAAATTCCTTATTGAAATATAGCGCTAAAGATTATTTTTTCCGAGCATCGGTATGTCACATGTGTGTGGATCTTGTTAACGCTGAGTTAGCGATACCCAAATATGAAGAAATGTTTCCAGCTTTCGCAGATTCAAGGGAGTGTAAATTAGTTAAGGTAGATAGCACATCTTCTTTGAGTTGTAAATAACTCTAGTGAAATAAAACATAATTGTTATTTAGTTCAAAATTTCTAAAAGCTAGAAGTGTTGGAGAAATAATTGTGCACACCTATGAAATGTCCGGCATGTTCCTAAGTAGGATGTTAACAATCTTGGGATGAATAGACCTAGGGGACGAATAGACATAGTGGACGAAGTGTCCTCGTGGCCAAATTGTCCAGGGCCGAATAGTCCTAGGGGAGAAATAGATATAGGGGAAGAATTGTTCTCAGGGCCAAATTGTCCTGGGACGAATTGTCCTAGGAGATAAATTGTCTGGATATGAATTATCTGGGGACAAATTGACAGGGTATGAATAATCCCAGGGGATGAGTTGACATGGTACGAATTGTTTTGGGAAGAGTTGTCTGGGGCCCAAATTGTCCTGTATGGATGTTAAACCCCATTTGTTGTTGTTCAGCTAGGGGAGTCAAGTTGGCACAGTGATTAAGACATGGTCTCACTAACCAGGTGCTACTGGGTTTGATCAAGAAAGTTGCTCATGATTTTCAAGCCTGGTACCCTTGCAACAAAAAGCTTCTAGTTGTACTGATGAGACAAAAAATTTAGGTCCTGTGTATACCATTGCCAACATGTTAAAAATCCCCTGACAGTTAAAGGATCAAAATAAGAGTAGACCATAGTACCACTGTCGGGGCAAAATGTTCCTGATAGCACTCTATATAGTGTATGCATGTCTTCATTAGACTGGTTAGTGTAGAAAAGGAAGACATAAATGCCATTTGATTTTGTTCTGCTGGTGCATATAAAAGATCCTTTTATGGTTAGAATTGATAAAATTTGACATATTATAAAACATTGGACACAATATAAAACATTGGACACAATATAAAACATTGGACACAAAATAAAACATTTGACCCCAATTAAAACATTGGACACTATATAAAACATTGGACACTATATAAAACATTGGACACTATTTAAAAATTGGACACAATTTAAAACATTGGACACAACACCAATTTAAAACATTGGACACCAATTTAAAACATTGGACACTGGGACACAATTTAAAACATTGGACACAGTACCTTTCAATAATAATTCTAATTTCAGACATTACTAGCAGCTTGTAAAGAAGAAGAAGTTGATCAGTTTACGGATGCACTAAAAGATTATGATAGTATATCGCGTTTAGATCAATGGTTTACAACCATGTTATTACGAGTGAAGAAAACACTGAACGCAGAGGGAGATTTATGTTAATTTTAATGATTGTTCCCATTATTTAAGTATGTAAAGCTGAATTAAAGACCTGATGCATCATTTAGCACTATAGGAATCCCTTGTAAACTACAATATGGTGAAAGTTTTATCTCTAATAGGAATATCAGTTCAAAAATGGTTCATTTCCATTCAGTATTTACAAAGTTATGATAAATTGAAACTCCATCGATCTATGCTGCTTGAGCATAAGAAGATGCAGAGAAACATGATAGGCCTAGTTTAAATCCAATTGAATCCAACCCAGGAGATTATCTACCATTGTTTTTTGGATTTTTTTTTTTCCTAATTAAATGTTAAAAAACCAATCTTGAGTACATATTTAGTGTGTATTAATTCGTAAGAAATTTGATATTTTTTTGCGAAAATGCAAATGACGCATCAAGCCTTTAAATATTTTATGGTTAATAAAATAGCTGTATAACATACAGATATATTCCCCGCACTTTATTTTAAAGTAGCTATGTCTCTAACTCAGTATCATCCAAAGTCTTCGACATGGAAAACACAAATTATTTGTCAATTTAAATCAACATTGATGTTGTGATCTTACCAGGAAAAGATGGGTTTCTGATATCCAATATTTAAGACAAATAAAAATTTTACTATTGGTACACAAATCGTGTACCATAATGTGTTTCTGTCTCATTTGTAACAAGGGACTCGAAGAACGAGGCTAGACGTATTCCACAAGTGATGTCAAAGGGTGATCCATTTTTTTATCTGGAGAGCATACGCAATAAATACTATCAGTGTAGACGGGAATAACTAGGTGCTAGAGATTGCTATCCGATTGAGACTTCTAGCGTAATTCGCCGAAAAGAACTGATTTGAAATTAGAGTAAAAAAAAGTAAACGATTGAATGTAAATCAGTTTATATACATTCATATTACGTTATTATATGCGTTGCGACCCATATGTGTCAATTTCTAGGTCCCAAATATTAGAGATGTAGCTTCTTTAATACACATACAAATGATGATACCAAGTAAAATGAATTACTAATTACTAGATAAATTAACTGTGTTATATATGTATTACATGTCCTTTAATAAAATTCTATGTTGTCCTTTCTCTATCATATTTTATCTGCTTTATACATAAAAAGTCCCATATTCTAACTGAAAATTTGGGAAATAAAATATCAATAACATCTTTGCCTGAAAGAGATAAATAGGCCTCTAAGAGTATTCTTAGCAAAATACGCAATTAGAAGTATAGTCCGGTTAAGGAACACAGTCATCAGAAATATTTACAGTATTAAGGAATCTTCTTACAATTGTTGATTGATATTCACAAACATATTTAATTTACGATTTGTTTACGATTTCAAGGCAGAAATATGGATCAAACTTCAGATATAATTTTAAAAAAATATAAGTGCATGTTAATTGATTTTGATCAAAATCTAATGCTATAAAACAAGATATTATGCATTCCCTTCATACTAAGTGTCTTCATCAAACTTGTTTCATTTTGCTCGTAATACCATAAAATAAAACTTAAAGAAGCTAACTATGGGACAGAATCCAGTAGAAAATTCTAAAAAATTTCATTTCATGCGCTTATGAGCAGTTATTCAAACTGGAATCTCGGCTTATTGGAGGAACTATTTGATATTATTTATTATTAGCTTCTGTCAGATTGCAGTAATCACTGTCTGTCTGCTTGTGCATCGTTCATATTTCTTGTTATTACAATAGAGACAACAATAATCTATATATCTTTTGTGGTTTTCTGTCTCATTGAAATTAAAAAGCTAGTTGATTTCCCACATTTTTTTCTGTCATCACCACCAGATTTATGCCCCTTTGTTATATGTTATAAGCTACAATTATTTACCTATCTTTATGAAATTGTTATTAGTTGTCTTTTCTACTGAGATTAAGACCACTATTTATTTGCAATGAATTTCAATAACTTCCAGAGTTATACCCACTATGTAATCTGGTTAGCACTTGATAATTTACAATTATTTACCTTTCTGAAATTTCTATTGGTTGTATATCCTGTTGAAGAGAAAAATTCTATTCGTTCAATGAATTTTGATAACTTCCAGAGTTACGCCCCTTTGTAAGAAATCTTGTTAGCATATAATAAATAGACTTAGCAGATGGTGAACCTGTGCTTCAGAAACCTATATCTTTTCATTTTGCCATCAAATTTGAAGATGTATGCAACAGGGTATGTTAAATGTTTTGTTATTTTGCATTTCATTGATTTCTTAAATGTGTTAAGCCTGTGTATCGATAATATTTATTAAAAATCATTCATATTATATTTTTGTCATACGATTTATGAATCTAATAGTTGAATATCTGTACTGCACTGTGAAGAGTTTAAAGGCAATACAACACTCTGATAACAAGTTCTAAATTTGGACAGCGATTTGTCTTACTACATTATGGACAGAAACTAACATCACAAAATTCTTATTATGACCCTAGATATCTTTGTATCCAATTATCAAATTTTTTGCGTGTATGGCAGATACCATGTTTTGCTTTGCTCTTGGAATAAAGAATAAAAATATCAATGACTTTCACAGGTTCCAGTAGGAGTACTGTTAGGCTAAATGTTATTTAAGAATTTTGAATATGATTAAAAGTTTAGAATTGATATAATGTATTTTATTCTCTAGAAAGAAAAGATCGCACATTAATCCTTTGAAAAAGATAGTAAGTTTTTGTTAATGATTTCTATAATTAGTTTATTGTTAACCACATCTTATATACTTACGTAGGTAAAGATATAGACGTTTCTAAATTATCTACATGTATGTAGGTTCCAGTAGGAGTACTGTTAGGCTAAATGTTATTTAAGAATTTTGAATATGATTAAAAGTTTAGAATTGATATAATGTATTTTATTCTCTAGAAAGAAAAGATCGCACATTAATCCTTTGAAAAAGATAGTAAGTTTTTGTTAATGATTTCTATAATTAGTTTATTGTTAACCACATCTTATATACTTACGTAGGTAAAGATATAGACGTTTCTAAATTATCTACATGTATGTCATATTTTGTAAATAAAGATTTCTTTTCATTTTATAAATATTACATGTTAAAGAGGAGAGTATTGTATATATATTAGTGAAGTTTTCATACTGGTGATGTGTGTAATTCAAACACCGAGCGATTTGTAGCTTGTCATATACAATTTTTTAAAAATTGGTTTGGACAAATTTGTTATTTTCGGAACATTTCGCCTCTATTATCACTTCGTATTGTAAGACAAGTTGATGCTGTACTTGAACGATGTTTAACTCTTTATCTGAGTATTATTCTTTTAGGATTTAGATATTTGACATATTGTTAATTATCTGCTTCTAATAATGACTGTTATTTGACTGTAATTAATGTTTCAATAAATTTCATCTTAATAACTAAGGCCATATTAAAAAAATATACTGGGTCTTTTCACTTAGTTGATGACATACTTTTCAATCTTGACGTTGAACTCTTTGTGATTGTGTCAGAATATTATTCTTTTAGAATTTAAATACTGTAATTATTTCTATCTGCTTCTAAAAATGACTCCTATTTGATGCATTCGTTTATTATAAATCCAGGAGATCCAGCCCGTTAGAATGCTGCATTTTATGTTTTATATGTGTAAACATATTTATATTTTGTTTACTTTTTGTTGGAAAGTCAATCCATAATATAAGACAATCCAAAGTCAAGGTTGTAATAATGTAGGCCCCTAATAGGCTCACATTGTAGCGCTACTCAATCTTATTTTGTAAAAGTTATCATAGAGCCTAATGGACAATAGCTATACTATATGTACCTGTTTGTTTTGTGGCAGTGCTAAAATTGATGTATGGAAATTTAGGGGAGATTTCTTTTTCACCTGTTGACGAAAAGAATCACCAATACCCCTGGAAATTATTCCAAAATTTTTCATCCCATAAAATAAATGAAAATTGTGAAATCAACAATTTTATTTTTACCCAAAACACCAAGGTTTAGTCAATTTAAAATTCATCGTGGGTTCACATAGTGATTTAGCTTACTTTCAAACTTAGACTTAGAGATAAAATTGATTTTAGAAGATTTTAGGAAAGAGCAGTCCAAGTGTTGAGATGTATATCTGTTGATTAAAATAAACTAAGTCACAAAATGTGTGTTTTATCGTATCAAATTGTAGAAGACCTCATTAGCCTGTATATGATTTCAATGTATGTTGGTGAGAGATTTTGTTGATTTATTAAGTTGTGTTTGTATATTTATAATATTGACTAATTATTTAATGTACATTTTTTGTTATGTAAATAAATAGATTGTAGGGTGGTGAGAAATTTTTATCAAACGAACCGAAGAAGCTAACTGATGCCAGAAACTGTCCATCAATGATATGACCTTTAATTACTCACCGACAGGAGGCATTAGGATTTGGCTGTTAGTACAACTTGATGGATAGACTCTGAAATCTCTCCCAGAGTTTTTGATTTAATGTTTTGACAATATATTAAAGTCCATATTTTTGAATGCTGAACAGGGTTTTACTTTCAAGGGGTAAAAAAATAATTTTAAACATAGATTAACCCTAATCAGCAATTAGGAATATGGCCAGTTTTAGTCTTTGTTAGTCGTTATTATTTAAATTCCATCTTAATACGGCACATTATCTTAGATTCTTTCTTTACCAGGGACCTTAATCATGAAAACTTACATGTAAATATTTTAAGGATTCAGCCTTTTCCTTGGCTAGAACTTATAATCCTAGTACAAATTTGAGGTCTTAGCCAATGAAATAGCATCTTTGAAATACAAGATTAAAAAAAAAAAAGAGGACTCTCTCAAAAATAGCATTTCTTCGGTGTAGTTTCACCTTGCAGAATCAGATGTCCACCCCAATAATCAGTCCTGCTTCTTCAATACATGGCTGGTTAAGATGATGGAACTGGTTGTATCCTGAAAATATCTTATGTTAAGTTTTTATGACAAGGCCCTAGATAATAAACTAGAGGTAGTAGACCTCCTATATGTGCATGATAGAAAAGAGTTAAAACATCACTTATATCGTTTATTACTCTTTTTTTTTACCAGATTATAAACTAGTTACTATATATTATACTACTAGTATGACATGCATGGTAGACACAAGTTTATCTAATTTATTTATCAATAAATGTGATCTTACACTGTTTACAAGTCTAATAAAACATTTCAGAAGTTGATCTGGTTAATAATATTTATTGATTAAATGCTGGGCATTATTACACTAAGTAGTAGGACAAATGCCCCTTCTGCTGACAAACATTACCCCACTGCTTTCTAAAGAAATAAAGCAGTGGGGGAATATATAGTGCAATCACATCTTTTGGTACTATTTGATAGCGGGAAAGTAAAAATCACATTCCAAAACTCCACTAAGGTATGCAGGAATTCAAAACTGAGCATGAGAAAATGGGGTTTAACATCCTACTATTTTTCACTAACTGGGTTAATGAAGATGGGCATACAACATGCAGTAGGCTTTGAGGAAGAAATTTCTCTGACAATGGGTACACAGGTGAACTTTGGTTTTCTGTCCCGTCCGGTGGGTTGGATGGCCGAATCGTTAGCACGTGTACATTGTATCATACGGTCTGTCATTGAGTCAACTGGCGGGGTTTCGATTCCCCAGTTGTACGTGACAAGGAGTAGGGTCACCTGTCCAACCTCACGAGTTTTCTCCGGGTCCTCCCACTGCTAAAGACCCCTACGCGCAAGCGAATTATTGAAATAAAATTGAACCATTTGAGACTAGTATTCCTCAGTTTCTTCCCAAAGCTATAAAGGCTTGCACACACACAAATAATCAAATTAAAATATACCCCTTGACACAACCCAATTTAATTATGGGAGGGAGTACATTAAACTCTTTATCTGAAAACTACCACAAATCTAGTCCTAATCAGAATTTCAAACTGCTGCCCTCTCACAATCCTCTACCAAGATCAGGGGTGTGGTGGTTGCTAATTTTGCATGAGGAACAAGAGATCCATAGGGGCACAAAAACCGCATTGTCAGAGAAATTTTGGGCTGTGTGGAACGTCGTCCTATCGGAGTCATGGTATATGGTTAACACTGGTTGAGCATGATGATAATGATTATGAAAACCGCATTGAAAGTGAAACCATGTGATTTTTTCCATATGAAAGAGTCTAAAAACTAGAAATGCATGACACATTGGTTTTCTTTACATCCCCCTCACATAGCTCCTGCCTAATATTTCAGTAGGATAAAAACCACTGTTATTTTAAATTTTATTAGTTTTTTGTCCACCAGTACAATGTACATATATATATACACAGATGATAAAATCAATAATATATCAACAATATAACAATTACATAACTTCATATTATACATAAACAATGTTTATTTATAACAGTTTTATTATGGATTTAGTCAGGTTTAATTGGTTACATCTATCACAATGGATTTTTGAAACACAAGCGCTCTCTGCCTTGTATTTCCTTTTTTTTTTTTGCTCTTGGAGAAAAGCCTAATACCGGTACTCTGTCAATTCAAGATCGACATGAAACTTGGCATGCTTGTTCCTTGGACAATTGCGCTTCAATTGACAGACTTCCATTTTTTTTAGATGTGACATCACAATTAGAAAATGGCGACTATGACATCATGATCCGTTCCATAGGCTGAAGTCATTCCAGCTAACCATCAAATATTTTTATATTCCAAGTTATATGTCAATTGTATCTTTCCAGAATACATCCTGTATTTTACTAGTTTCACTATGACTATACTCCCAGAAAATACTTCAAATTGGGCCATACTTGTCAGACTGCATTACATGTATATATTTTGCTAGATTCACTATACCCCCAGACTTCAAATTCGACCATACTTGCCAGACTGCATTATATATTTTGCTAGATTCACTATACCTCTAGTAAATACATCAAATTCGACCATACTTTTGATTTTATGGTTTCTACATTTACACAACAGCATATTTAATAAATTTGTGTCAACCTGACCTGAATTTCATCTAGCTCATGAAGGCCAAACAAAATTAAAACAGCAATAAAATAAAGATCATACTTTATGCTAATTAGAATGGAAGGTTAGAAGTCGTTAAAAGTTTCGACTTGGTGATCTATAGACCATGATTCAAACCACAGTATTAAAGACCAAATTTTAATTGCACTCTCTCTCCCCCTAATTTCATAATCCTGTTTCCAGAATTCTATATTTCTAATCTATAATTACTGAGAATTGACATAAAAAGTGAATATATAGTTTTCTATATTGCACATAAATATTTAGTAATGGTCACCAGGTTATAATATGAATGCTGAAAAAAATAAATGTGAAGGCAAGACTACAAGCTTTAAAATTATAATAATACATGTAGACCTATAAAGTATAGAACATTGATAATAACCCACGAATAATTAAATTATCACCCATGATATCAGTATTTATACCCAAATATTTTGATAAATATAACTTCATTATAAAAATATTTATACCATGTATATATTGCCAATATCCCACAGTTCTTTACCACAATGTCAAAATTACATAAGCAAATCATCGTGTTATAAGCATTTTTATCAACCAATGATTGTCCAAAGTGATTTGCATTCAGTCAAATTTTAATCTTTAACTTTAATCTAATTCAAAATGGTTACCCTAACCAACAAAATTATCGACACCGATTTTCGAAGCGATTACCACAAATTGCCAAATCACCTCTAGGTGCGATTTGACAATTTGTTCGGGCGATCATGTTTTTTTCAACTATGTCCAGCCACAAGAATTGTTTACAGCTAATCGGCACATGGCGCATTTAACGAACTCATCAAAGTACTTTGAAGTCGACTATACTATCACATGTCATCTCAACTACATACAAATTGATTTAGCAAGTCGATATAAACGTTTGATATGACTTCAGTCTAAAACATAACATTGTTTAATATTTTGTGTCTGACAACTAAAAACAGAATAATTTTGTCAAATTTGGTTTGCAATGACTGTAGTAGCTAAAACAACACTAACATGTCTCAGTCGTGACGAATGGTGGAGATTACATTGGTGCCCTTACATTGTAGCTCAATATTCTTGTGTTTACCATACTCCATTATTTCCCATGGATATAAAGATACATATTATTTACAATATATACATAATATAATATCTGATTTAAAAATAGATCTTATATACACCAATATTTACATGTTAAATAACTTGACAGAAAAATTTACTAAACAATAACAATATATAAAAAAAACACAACTGATAATTTACGGCCGATGTCTACATGTGTATCAATCGTGACAATGACTGCATAAAGCTAAAAAATAGAAATCGTTGCTACTGTCACTTGAACATCAGCCGTAAGTTACAAAGTTCATCCTCATCAGGAACTCAGTCAATTTAAATAATTCATGATTTATAACGTTAATGGGCATTAGCAGGTTATATTAGATAAAGAGCTGGCAGTTTTTGCTATAATAGTTAAACAATAGATAATGAAAACAGAATATGCTGAAAATTTCAGTCAAATTGCTTCACTCTGAACCAAGATATTAGCAATTCATTCAATTTTAGGCTAGCCTCAATCAATCGTCATTTCTACCGTTGGTACAATAATAAACAAAATCTTGATTATCCATTTTTACGTTAAATCATCCATCACAAAAATTATTCAAATCCACTAAATATCGCAGGCTAACGATGGCATCAGAAGTTAATTAATGTGTAATTAATAATTTAAATAACATTTCAGGCCCAAAAGAAAGACCTGCAATAGGCAGATTTAGCTCTTGCATAATGGATGTTTAATAAACAATAAACAAGATACATTATGGGAGATCAGATAGAGAGCTGGTAGTTCTCACTATAATAGTTAAAAACTAGATTCTGTAAAGGGAATTTGCTGAAAATTTCAGTCAAATTGATCCACTATGAACCAAGATTTTAGAGATAGAATTTTCGGCCTAGCCTCGATCATTATTACTAAAGTCGGTAGGATAAAAAACATTGTCTCGATTATCCATTTCATGATTTAATAATGAATGGAAAATCGGAACCTAATCCAATAAACATTGCAGGCTAGCGATGCCATCGAGAGTTGATTATGGTCTGGTTAAGTTAATTAATGCCTAATTAATAATTTAGATAACATTTCAGGCCTAAAGAAAGACCTGAAATAGGCAGATTTAGCTCTTGAATAATGTATGTGCAAAAGAAATAATTTGCTTATATTTAAGAAGTTTTTTTCTCGTAAATTACTCATACAAATAATAAATAGTATATATTTAATACCGGAAGGCTGTATATCGAGTTCAGGTATAAAGTTAACACCAAATTCTGTTTTTCAATCTTTAAATCATACAAAAAAGACATTTACTCAATTGAGACAATCAGGGCTTTTCCATCTTGATCTACTACAGACAGTGTACATATAATGCTGACTGGCAGCAGGAATAGAATAGATCTTGGTTTAACCTTAAGACAAATTAACAAAAACAGTCTAGAGCTCTTTTAAGATAATTTTCTTCCTATAGAAAAAAGATATGAAATTTAATATAGACTACCACCTGGTAATTTCTTCACAACTACCACAGTATACCAAGTTTCTTTTATCACAGTGTATAGTATACTAAAACCTGGTCGATTCAACATGCATCACAGACTGGATAATGGGGACAGTGGATAACTATCGAGCACATGTTGTCTTTGTTGGTGGAATATATGATACCTCACAGACTGGATAGATGATAACTATCAAGCACATTGGTGGAATAGATAAGATGAAAAAGACAGAATATAAACATCCAGCAAGACTGTTGATAGAGGAAACTTGTATACTTGTAAGTTCCAGTTCTAACATGATTTATTAACAACTGTACCGTAAGTCATGTATTATTTAAGAGTGTGTTCCCTGTATTTTATGGTTCATGTGGTTGTTTAGTTTGATGATGTATCTCTGGTTGATATGTCAACAAAACAATCATAACCCATAAATGTAATAAACCCTGAAAATATCAAAATATATAAGTAGTGAAATGAGTGAAATGGGGTTTAACGTCCTACTGTTCTGGGCTAATGAAGATGGGCATACGCCATACAGTGTGCTATGATCGAAATTTTTCCTGGATAGCGGCACTACAGTCTACTCTTATATCGAATTCCAACTGTCAAGGGTTCTTTTACGTGCATGCCAATTGTACATGTGACTTCCGTTTTTGGTACTATCGGAATGACTATACGTTGTCCCTTGCCAAGCCCTCTGTTCTACACCACTGACAAGGGGGAACCACCCCGGAAAATCCTGATGAATTTTCTCGGCCGATGCAGGGATGGAAACTCTAGGTTAGTGAGACAAAGTCTTAGTTTAATATGATACTATTCCTTGTGTTTTTATGATGTAGGTAGGCAGTCTATCTATATTAAATATTAACAGTGCGACATATTATTATACATAACACAGTAAGTACTGTTACTTACCATATATACAATAACAAATACACGTGCAATTGGATATCTTCTTAAAAATACTCCCAAACGGATGCTAAAAGATAAAAACAATTTATATCCACTTTGTGCAAAAACAGACATTAGATAAAGTGAACGGTTTTGACTCAAATCCTTGATTGGCACTCAGTGATTGAGCACATTAAAAGAACGGCAATTTGTAATATAAAGACTTTTTCTATTTTTCTCGCTTTCTGTGATTTCTGTCAATTCTTTTTATAAATAGTTTGTCTCGAACAGATATCCTCTCACATATATACTCTCTCGATAACTAAACTTTTTAAGAATTAAGAATTTTTCAAACACATTTTTTTGCGAAATGTGGACCTTTTAAGATTCGGGAAGTAAGTTGCATATATTCTTAACTGCAATGACTGGATGTTACTTTAATAAAGAGACACATGATGAAGCGTGTAAGAAAGATAAATGTACCTGAATCTATCAATACCATTAGCAGCTCTTTTTACTCTACGTGTAACTTCAGTATCACTGGCTGCTTCCTTCATAAATATCGGCACTCTCTGGCGAACTACAAATACATTGTATACATAATTACAATTGATACAATACATAAATATCGGCACTCTCTGACGAGCTACAAATATACATAATTACAATTGATATTTACGATGATCCACATCTTGGTTTTTTTTTACCACCAGACCACCTACCCCAATATATTTAAAGTCAATCTGATGGCCTCCACTACATGAAGATCTGACCAGTTGTAGTGGGAGGTTGCGTCAGGAGTCATACGAGCATCTTTTGACCCTATGATGTCAGACATTTGATTAACCAATCAATGTTGATGTTTCAAGTGGGTATTTGGAAATACAAATTTTGCGAAAGTCTACCCACATTATCATGCACCGCATGCCAAGAACTCGCCACAACAGACTGTTTCATTGGCTAATCCCTCACAACAACCAGAATGTAGGTTATATAGCAACTCTTCCAGATCCTAGTGTAGCAAAGACAATTAAAAAAAATATTGAACAATAAGAAACACAACGAAATAGGATCTGTGTTTTAATCAGATTGATTTAAAGTCCACACAATCTACACAATCTTGTATCAATTAATGAATATTAATGAATATTAATGAATATTCATCAGCATTAATTCAGCAACACTGATTTGATTTGAATTTTTGTTCTTCAGGAATACCTAATCAAATTTTGTTTCCCATTTCTTTGGGGAAAAAAAACCCTTTACTAAAAAAAATAAATAAAAAATACTTCGTTCCTCATCTTAAAAGCTTTAAGTTTCAAATATTGAAGCTTTGAAATCTCATTGATGATAATTGAGTGGTTAAATAATTTAATTTGGCCTAACTTACCATCATCATCATCATTCATACTAACAGATGTAGTAGCTGATCTAGCACTAGATATCTCTACATCTCTATATTGTTGCTGAAAATTCAAACAAAGAGTTCAGCTCAATACAACAGTACAAATTTTCGCCATGTGAAAAACTCAAATTAGAAGTGATATCAGATCTTCTGGAAATTGTAAGCATACCATATCGGTAAATGGAAAAATATTTCATCTACAAACTTAATAGTGGTATATTCAGTCATTTTTGTTCGAAAATTAAATTATTAAATGAGCTGAACCTCTAAGATTTACAGTTATAAAATTCACCTCTTTAAGAAAAATAATTCCAGGAAGATAGCACTAATAGATAGCCTAAACGTACCTCTAATCACTAATAGATAGCCTAAACGTACCTCTAATCACTAATAGATAGCCTAAACGTACCTCTAATCACTAATAGATAGCCTAAACGTACCTCTAATCACTAATAGATAGCCTAAACGTACCTCTAATCACTAATAGATAGCCTAAACGTACCTCTAATCACTAATAGATAGCCTAAACGTACCACTAAACGTACCTCTAATCACTAATAGATAGCCTAAACGTACCTCTAATCACTAATAGATAGCCTAAACGTACCTCTAATCACTAATAGATAGCCTAAACGTACCTCTAATCACTAATAGATAGCCTAAACGTACCTCTAATCTCTCAAGTTGAAGAGAGAGTGAGTTTTTCTCGGTACTCAGAGATTCTAGAACTGTTTGTTTTTGTATTAAACTTTCTGTTAAAGCTCGAACGCGAGATTCTAATTCACTTTCTGTAACACTGCTTAAACTTTTAGTTGTTAACTGAAAGTAAATCATACATTTATATCAGATTGTTTTTAAACGATATTTATTCACATAAACTGGACTGGAGAACTGGCAGGATTCTTTAGACCTTCCCTCCATATTAAATAATTGACAAATAAAATAATAACAAATTTCCAAGGTGACCAGGCATCTGTTGGAATTAAATTCTCTCAACCCTTTGAAATGAGTCAATCATGTAAATACGAGAATTTCAAAAGATAGTGCATACGCCAATTAAACATACATTATGCAAGAGCTAAATCTGCCTATTGCAGGTCTTTCGTTAGGCCTGAAATGTTATTTAAATTATTAATTAGACATTAATAAACTTTTCCAGACTATAATCAACTCTCGATGGCATCGCTAGCCTGCAATGTTTATTGGATTACGTTCCGATTTGCTGTTCGACTTCCATTCATAATTAAATCAAAAAATGGATAATCGAGACTATGTTTTTTATCCTACCGACTTTAGTAATGATGATCTGGGCAGACCCAATATTCAATCGCTAAAATCTTGGTTCATAGTGGATCAATTTGACTGAAATTTTCAGCAAATTGCCTTTACATTATCTAGTTTTTAACTATTATAGTGAGAATTGCCAGCTCTTTAACTAATTTCCCATAATGTATCTTTAAATATGATGCTATCCTGTCGACCCACAATTGATTCTGTCACAATTCTTCTAACACTAATCTGTTTTCAGAACTGGCAGCAATTGACAGGACTCAATTTCATGTCGATTGAAATTCCAACAATTCGGGATGTTGCGTACCGAAAATAAAGTAACCCCATAGTAATGCCTACAAATACCTTCTCATGTATTTCAAGTTCTGTTTACATTGGATTATAAATTCAACCTTTCAGTTTTGACAAAAAATAATATATTATTTACAAATAGTTTTAGCTTTAGAATAAATTTGGGCATTATGAAAATAATATATTATTTAGCAGTAGAATAAATTTGTAAGTAGAGAATAAATATATACCTGATTTCTAAGTTTTTCTATCTCTGATTCTCTGGATGATAACTGTGATGTAAAAGCTGTTTTCTGTTTATTTATTTCATCTATTGCATATTGTAATTCCTATAAAGACATAAGCTCTAACTGAAAAATGTTATTTATAATGATGACAACAGTTTATTCTGTCAACCAGTAGATTCAACCACAGTCACCATCCTGGTAGTAATCAGAAGGTCAAAGTTCATAGTTGGTAATTATCATGTGCAGTTACATATTCTAGATCTGCATTTCTCAATCTAGCGTCCACAGAATCTTTCAAAGCCTGTGAAAAAAACATTCATACGTTGGCTAAGTCAGAGGGGTTCATGAGGAATAAAGGGGTCCGGGAAAATAAGACAATCAAGTAAAATTTAGTATGAAATTGTTGTCCAGACGTCAGAGGATTATAACATTTACAAACAAATGAGATTGATTTGTAAAACTAACCTGTTTTTGTTTGAGTAATTCTTGTTCGGAATCTTCTCTACGTCGTTTTTCTTCGCCAAGATTTTCTTCTAGAGATTGAATATGTTCTGATGATGTATAACTTTCTTGTTGTAATTGACCTTCTATATCCTGTCATAGAAAGAGAGAGAGACATAAACATCCACTCGGTCATTTCGGGACTAACATATGGTTCAATTTTACTTAATTCGCTTGCGCGTAGGGGTCTTTAGCTGTGGAAGGAAACCGGAGGACCCGGAGAAAACCCATGAGGTTGGACAGACGACCCTACTCCTTGTCACATACAAGCAGGGAATAGAAACCACAGACCATGCCCTGGTTTCACAAAGCATTCTCAGACTTAAAAATTTACTTGACCTAAAATCACTGTTTATGAGAAATATCTTTGATCCAGATACATTAAATTTTGAGTAAATTCTTAACTTAAGTCTGAGAGAGTTTTGTGAACTCAGGCCTTATGATTTAACAAACAGACGTTAAACCATTCGACCACTCTACCCCACTTCCTGTCATGACAGAACACATATAGCTGTTAAGATATGTTTTTTTCGTGTTGTCAACTGTGTACCCCCAAATACCCCCAAGTAATAAAAATACATCAAAATTGACCAATAAGAATCCAGCATGCAGTCATATAATCAAGCTAACTAACAGCTGCATTGTTTGAATCCCTCCTTTCGGACTTTGTAGTGAGCCTTGAACACAAAATGTTTTATCTTTACCTGTAGTTCGACTCTCAGCGTTTCAATTGTCATTTTACTTTGTTGTAATTCTTCTCTAAACATATCTCGTTCTTGTTTAACAGAATCATATTCTATAGATGATACACCACCAGATGCACCTGATGCTCCTGGTCCTTCACGTAAACTAGCAATTAAACGTTCTTTAGACTAAAATAAAATAGATATCGGTAAATATATGTTTTATTAATTAGTTCTAAAAATGAAATGAAATGGAAACGGGGTTTAATGTCCTACAGTTCTGCTTCTAAACTGGGCTAATGAAGACGGGCATACGCCATACAGTGTGCTATGAGGGAAATTTTGCCCGGGCAGCGGCACTACAGCCTACTACTCTTATATCGAATTCCAATTATCAAGGGATCTTTTACGTGCACGCCAATGTGTACACAGGACCTCGGTTTTTTCGTCCCATTCCAACGACTAGACAGCTGTCTTTGTCAGGCCCTCCGTCCTGCATCACTGACAAGGGGAAAAATAACAAAAGAGGAGAATGCAATACTTCAGTCATTCTGTGACTAACATTTTGGGGGGTTTTCCAGGTTACAAGAATGAGGGGAAACAATATGGGGATGGAGAATTTTGTCCAGGCAGCAACATTTCTAGCTACTTTTCTTCAAATCCCAGTAGTCTGATATGTTTACATGCACTATCAATATGTACCAACATTGAAATATTTTTTTTAGTCTGTCACTGTCAGATGTTCGGCATGAAACATGTAAACTCAGCTGAAAATAATACAAATGTTATTTTTAGCTTATTTTAGGACTGTGAAATATGACATTCAATACAGAGTACAGAGCGAGAATAAAAAAAAAAAATAAATAAATAAATAAATAAATAAATAAATAAATAAATAAATAAATAAATAAATAAAAAAAAAAAAGCCAACAGCGGGGCTAGTGTCCTCCGCCTAAATCCCAAAATAAATAGATGACAAATATTTATTAATCGCACATTTATTTTTTGGAACACATACTAAATAAATTTAGAAGAAAGAAAGTTTGTTAAATACCTGTAATATTCTGGCAGCTTTTTCTTTATAATCTGTTAATTCTTGTCTGGCTGTTTCCAGATTTAATTTAGCCATCTTTACCTGGTTAAAAGCCTCTGTTGTTTTACCTAGTAAAATATATGTCACACTATCATGGTAACATTGGTATACGAAAAATGTTCTGATGTAAACTGACAGGACAATATATATATTTCTAATAAAATCCTCCAATTGTTCTGCGTGTGGTTTGATAGATCAATCATCGGGAATTGTATTCATACAGAAATAATTGAAAGATCTTAAAAATGTGACTTAAGCCATACAAAGATATTATTCTGGTTCTCAAAGAATCCTTCCAAAAATCTGGTGTTTTTAATATATATTTTTTTTTTGTCAAACGAGAGAGAGAGAGAGAGAGAGAAATGGGATTTAACGTCCACTCGACACAGACAGGCGACCCTACTCCTTGTCACGTACAACCGGAGATTCGAAACCATGCCAGTTGACTCAATGACGGGCCTTATGATACAGCGCGCACGTGCTAACCATTCAGCCATCCAACCCCCCCATTTTTGTCAAACAATCACTGAGCTAAATGGCATCTCAGAAAAGTCACATTTGAAGGTTCAACATTTATCTCATCATCAGTTTATTCACGCTGTTTATAGGAATTCAGTTAAATAATTATTAATCCTCATGTTACAGATGTAATATTTACAAGCAGTAATTAATTGTAATCAGTCTATGGACGTTAACACAGATTGAATAGTTTTAATGTAAATGATGCTCCTTCCATCTCTGATCACCATGGAATATAAATTTAACTAGAAATGTTGATCTACCCATGTGATTATACCATACCAAAAAAGTATTTATGGTGGATACACCAATACGATAGAATTAGAAAACAATACTTACTTTTTTCTTCACTAGCTCTTCTTTCAGCTTGTGTTAAAGCTTCAGCTAATGTTTGTTGTTCTTGTTCTAATTTACTCTGTCTTTCACTAGCTTCTTGCTAAAATAAACAATTACAAATATCTATTAAAACTAAATTAATCTTCTTGCTACAATAAACAGCTACAAATACTTATTAAACCTACGTTACTCTGTCTTTCACCAACTCTTTACTATAATATTGATATTAGTATCAGACGAACATACTAGATCCTTCAGGACATGGGCTAAGCGAGATAGGTGCAATGACAAGCTTTGTGTCATGGTTTTGAGTTTTTACGCCCCCTTGAGTTTTGGCTCCCCTCGCAAATGGCAAAAATCATGCAGTTTCAATGCGGATTTCAACATTATAATCATAATCATAATACACAACCAGTGTCAAACATATACCATGGGTCAGATATATTACATATCGACTCTAGCATGTTCCACTCAGCCCACTATTACCCTGTGGCACTGAGGGGTGCCCTACCCCCTGCACACACATATAAATAACCATGCCCCTGCTTCAGGACCAAAAACAACATTTAACTGTCAAACAAATTAATTACAAGGAAAAAATAAGCAAAAGAAATTTTCAGTGCCAAGCTCTTTCATATGGTTAAATATATTCTAAAATATCAAATCAGCATTTCCCAACTCCATTTCTTGTTGACAGATGACAGTAAATAAATAAATCAACTCTATACATATAGTAAAAACTTTTTCTGTAACTAACCTGAGCTTTCTTGTAAGCCTCTTGTTCCCTTTTTAACGCTGCTTCAACTTCTGTTAATCTGTCTTTTAATGAATCGAGAGCCTGACTGTGCATACCACTAGAATCTGTATGATCTTGTAGTATTCTAGAGTCAGAAACAGAAAAAAATACTCTTATTAATAGAAATAAACTGAGCTCTCATCTTGACAAGCTGGCATAGATATTAACAGAATTATAGATTTACATGTCTGACCATCTACATTTGGCATGAATAAGGTATTTTGAGTTTGATCCTGGTGTTGGCCGTGAAAGTGTTATTGTGATACACCCAACAGACTTATTAATGGAGACTATCGTAAACAACAGAAATGGAAGTGACTAAGACAGAAAGACTGTTCCTGCACTTGACAGTGTGATGGTATAGAGGCAGGTTGACCCTAGTTATTTTAACATGTGCCTATAATAAAAGGAGAGGGAGAGAGAGAGAAATGGGGTTTAACGTCCACTTGACACAAACTAGGTCATTTCGGGACTAACATATGGTTCAATTTTATTTCCATATTTCGCTTGCGCGTAGGGGTCTTTAGCAGTGGGAGGAAACCGGAGGACCCGGAGAAAACCCATGAGGTTGGACAGCCGACCCTACTCCTTGACACGTACAACCGGGGATTCGAAACCACGCCAGTCGACTCAATGACAGACTTCATGATACAGCGGGCACGTGCTAACCATTCAGCCATCCAACCCCCCTTATAATGAAAGGTATATACATCATAGGATCGTTCAGTGTGGTTTCTCCATGGCAGTGGTGCAAGACACAGGGCCTAGTCATTCAGATGGGACGAAAAACTGCATTCTTTTGTTGACCTTGGCATGAAAGAACCCTTGGTACTTGGAATTAAATAGAAAGCAACACTGCATGACATAAGCCCATCTTCATTAGCCCAGTTTGTGCAGAAAAGTAGGATGTTAAACCACATTTAATTTTCTCTCTTTCTATTAGGGATTTTTGGACGTTTTTGAGGAGATCTATGAATGGATTATACTACTATTACATACATATCTAACCTACAAGAATTCCACAAACAATTTTTAAAGGGGCTTTATGGGAGATTAGATCAAGATTTGACAGTTAAAAATATAGTTAAAAATTAGATAAGGTAAATAGAATATGCTGAAAATTTCAGTCAAATTGCTCCACTCTGAACCAAGATATTAGCTTTTGAATTTTAGGCTAGCCTCGATCATCATTACTAAAGTTGATGCGTAAAAACCAAAGTCTTGATTATCCATTTTTACGTTTAATTATTTTAAAAAAATTATATTCCAATCTGCTAAATATCAAAGGCTAGCGATAAGTTAATTAATGTCTAATTAATAATTAAGATAACATTTCAGGCCTGAAGAAAGACCGGCAATAAGCAGATTTAGCTCTTGCATAATGTTACGTTTAAATTCATAAATTTATTAAATCATCATTTATAAGATCTACCTTTCTCTCTGGGTCTGTAGCCCACCTATCTGTTGTTTCATACTTGTCACTGAATTATCAGCTTCTTCTAGTCGAACACGTAAAATGGCTAACTGGGAATCTTTCGCTGCCAGGGCTTCAGTTAAATCATTTTCTCTAGCTCTTAATTCTCTCACAACTTGATCATTCTCAGAATTACTCTTGTTCACCTTCATTTTAGCGTTTTCTAATTCTGAAAATTTTTAAAAATTGACTTCAAAATGAATGAAACATTCTCAAAATAATATGTGTACATCATAAACATCGAAGTAAAAATCCCCATAACGTTAATAATTGGAAGATATTGCATTAAAAAAAATCATAAAACAATCACTTCATGAATAAAACACAGACAATCTAAAATGGCAAAGTCCTCTTCAATTTTGAGGTAGTCCCATAGTGCTCAATATCTATACCTTAAGCTCAATGATCAAGATTTTCGGAGGTTCTGTAATATGTCCATCTTCATTAGCCCAGTATAGCAGCAGAACAGTAGGATGTTAAACCCCATTTCATTTCATATTTTGAAATAACGGTATACTACCATGAAAGAATGATTTCACATCCATATTTTAAAACTAGTTAATTAAGAGACTGGAGAACAGCGTATTACGTAAGCCCATAAGTATGCCTACCTGTTTGTGCTTCCTTTGATCGTTGTAACAGTGAAGCCATTTCTGTATTAAGGGAGGCAACTTCATTACGTAAAAGTCTATTCTCTAATTCTAGAGAGGAGATATGTTGTGTTGATTCTCGTGGTGGTCCTGAACCTTGACTACTGTGAACACTCTGTGCAGGACTTTCATGTAGAGCATCAGCTAACACTTCCATATCAGCTGATTCATGGGAACCTGTTGGACTCTCCTGTCTTGAATCAGATACTGAAGACAAGAAACAAACCCATGTGTTTATGTTATAATTTATACAATGAATGCATAAAGCTGGGCATTGTCATTTCAGGGAAATTGAATCACTTGCAAACCACAATGTGATGGACGTTGAGTCTCCAAGTCAATTTCAATATTTACAAACACATCCAACCTCTGAATACTCCGGCAATCTGTGAAATCCAACATCATTTTCATGTCCTGATTTATTTCCTTATTATTTCAGCCAAAAAATCTTTGAGTAATCCGTACTCTGAATATTCCGAATAACGACATCAATCAGCCGTCCCGTCACATGATTTCCATTGAATCAACACTGTATAATCCGGCCTTCAATCAGTGGGTGTGAAGCCACAAAAGATTAACAAGCAATCACCAATCAATTATCGGTGAGATTAAAACTCGCCCGCGTAGGTCTTTGTTGATTACTTTGATAATTTTATAAGCTCTTGTAAGACAGTTGTGACAAATACTCAAGAATACCCACACATTTTCCCACGAAATATTTACAGTCGTAAAAATATTCCTAGCACCTGTTGGAAACATTTGTTGCGCATGCCGATTGAACCTGAATCCCTAAGTTTGTTCACCCTACGGATCTATCCCAACCGTGTGACGACAACCTGGACATAGAATGACAGATTATCAATGAACATGTGACACCAAAGGCAAGTGAGAATCAACTGAAGACGATGAATTAACAACAGACTTGACCTATTCAAAATGCCTACGCATGTTAAATAAAATAAAAATTGATGTAATAAAATTTTGAATGTACAGAAAGGTTTTTGAAGTTACAATAATACTTCTGGTTTGTATTTTAACGATCCCGTACGATGTTGAATTTGACAGAGTCCACTGTAGTTGAGAAATTGAAAATTTCGGAACACTCAGCATCCTCTGCAGATTACCAGTATATAAACAAGCCAGCGTCCCCTGCAAGTTTTGGGTGTTCTTTGTTGCACCTCTGGGAAATTATTACTTATGTCAGGAGTAGAAGAAATTAACGGATAACTTTAAGATTATATCTATTAATACAGTAGATATTTACAGTCATTTATTTATTTATTCACCAGCATTATTTCTATTACGTCTGTGCTTGTATTATTACAGGCCCCGGGACTGTACAGTGCAATGGACACTCACAACTGGCCCCCGGATCTATTCACTTGATTTTATATGTATTGTTTATTTCTTGCTGTGTCTATGCAGTTTGTCTTGCCTGTGGGGATTGGATGGCCGAATGGTTAACATGTGTGCATTGCATCAAAAGGTCTGTCATTGAGTCAAGTGGCGTGGTTTTGATTCCCTGCTTATATGTGACAAGGAGTAGGGTCGCCTGTCCAACCTCATGGGTTTTCTCTGGGTCCTCCTGTTTACTCCCACTCCTAAAGACCCCTACGTCACGTGCATGCAAATTATTGAAATAAAAATTGAACCATATGTAGTCCCGAAATGACCTAGTTTGTGTCAAGTGGATGTTAAACCCCATTTCTATCTCTTTTTTTCTTGTCTGCAGGTTTGTCTTATCGGTTTTGTTTGTGTGTAGTGCGGTTCTCATGCACTTACTATTATAACAAATATAATTAGTAAGACATTATGTAAATTCTTCCATATGCAGGTACGCTTATATCCATTACCTGTAGTAAGTTTTAAACCTATATCTTATTACCTGTTGTAGTAGGTATAGTTGTTGTAACTGATATATAAGACATTGTGTAAGTTCTTCCGTATACAGGTACGCTTACATGTACATGTATATCCATTACCTGTAGTAAGTTTTAAACCTATATTTATTACCTGTTGTAGTAGGTATAGTTGTTGTAACTGATATATCTGCTGGTTTATTGTTGTTTTTAGAAGATAAAACAGAAGATGTACTAGACTGACGAGAATGCTGGGAACTACTACTTGGTGTAGCTTTCTTCTTCATCTCCACAGGATCTTTACTGTTCAAAAACTCAAACAATGCCTCATCAGAATCTTTCTTTTTCAGCTAAAACAATTAAACAGCACAACATGTATTTAGAATATGAAAATAACAAGCATCTAAATACAATAATTCTTACGAGCAATCAGAGGGGAAATTGGGTTTAATGGGGTAAGAAGTGAGGTTAATCAGAAGTAGAAATTCATTACATTTACTTCACTACCACAGAATTTGGAAGGGTTTTTAAATAAATCACATTCTGTTTTATGCTGGGTTTACGGGATACAAGTTAACACTGTTTTTAGACTTCCCGCGATGTAATTTATTCATAACGACCTAGGTCACGTATATTCTCACTTACTGATTGGTTCAATAGCCGTAGATTATCAGAATGAGGCAAACGACCTTGGTGGAATAAATGTTAGATTTTTTTATTTTACTTTTTTCATTGGTGTTGATTGAGCAAAAATGATAAGTGGGAGGGCAGCGGATTACAGGAGCAGTTATACACAAATTTATTCACCTCGTTGATTTTTTGGGATATCATGGATAGTCTTAATAATTGCGGCTAAAGGTAGGCACGTTTTTTTCTTCGCGGCTCAAACAATTTGCAAATCAAAAGTAAGATTTCATACTCGACATATACAGACACTCATAAACATTGAAATAAGTAAGAAATTATGAGTATATGAACTTTTGATGTGATTTTGTTCAAGAATTTCACGTTTCCGAATTATCCAACGAATTGTATTCGGATAGCAAACAAAAGTATTCGGATCACAAATCTCGATCCGATTTTCAACACTAATGCAAGGTAAGCATAGAATTCTGGGATTCATCTATAAAGCAGTTCAGAACAAAACAAAAGCTAAAAATGAATAGTCTAAGCCATTCTATCAAATATTTGACCCCTGCTGGCGTGATTTCACACACAAACCTGTCAGACCTATTGGGGTGGATGTCATGGAAAGTATAATAAAACAAAACTTCAGATCTGTACTCTGATCAGATCGGTTGGAATGGAATCACACCTTGGTTCATTATAACAGAAAACATGCTTTCTATTGTCATGGGTGAATATTTTTTAAGATACATTTCCTTTGTTTATTGCTTTTAGAGAGAGAGAGAGAGAGAGAGAGAGAGAGAGAGAGAGAGAGTTTAAGGCCCACTCGGCACAAATTAGGTCATTTCAGGACTAACACATGGTTCAATTTTATTTCAATAATTTGCTTTCACACAGGGGTCTTTAGAAGTGGGTGGAAACCGGTATTGCTTTTATAGATTATCATCAGGGAAAAATCAGTTATGCTCACCTCTTCTTTAGATTTGGCAGCTAATAAGGGTTTATCTGCAGGAGATTTTGGCTTAGGTGTCGACTGACGTATCGGGGAACTTATCAATGATGATGCTGGATCTGTACTGGTTCTTAGCGCATGCAGACGTGAGGGAACACTCTGTGATGAGGAAAGAAATGGTGATGATGATGATTCCTTAACAGTAGTAGTATCTGGTGGAGTGGTCCCAATAAAGTTAAATTGATTTGGTTCATCTTCAGGATTATTTAGAGCTTCAGCTGCTGACTGGTCTAATTTATTGAGGAAACCTTCTGCTGTACCTGCGACGGCAGACAACCAACTCGACATCTTCAATCACTATCTGGTATACATCTAGTAATCAAAGATCTCTGTAGAAAAAAAATAATAAATCTCATCAAATGGAAAACATTCCATATTAGAGGTAAAATTTTAAAATTTGATAGGGTTCTTCCTTATGCTCTAATGAAAATCTCAAAAAGTTTTAACAAGTTCTGTTGAGATCTCTGTATCCTATGTTGTTGCTGCATGTAAACCAATTATTTTGTATACCAATTACAAATTAGTGGAATATTATAGGCGTACAGTATCTACTTAAAATATTTTACATGTTTAAAAGCAAAATACATGCTTTCGTGCATGTAAGGTAAAAATAAAAAAAATATAAAGACCATAGATTATTATTAGCAGGTACATGTTTTACCCATAGAACTACACATAAAACATACATGATACATTACATAACCTTTGCTGTTATCATTACCGGTATAGAAACAATACTGTATGGCCACTGGGCGAACAACTTTATTGTGCACTATATTATATGTTCTATTATCTAATTAAACTTCAATCAATAGTGCTGTGGGGCATACAATTACATGTAGATATTTTATTTTGTAAATTTCTGTACAGAATGACCTACTGTTGTACTGAGCCTTTGAAGATACAATGCATTTGAAATTTTCAGAAAGTTAGAGTGATAATGTCTCGCGACAATGAGTACATGATGTGAGAGTTATAACTGAGACAGATTTTTGGATAGCCTACATATTTCAATAATGGAAGAAAATATCATTAAAATTCTTATCTCACAGTTAAAAACATCCTACATTGATAAGTCGCAAAATGACACACCCATGGCATATCCTCCAACAAATATTAATCTTGCAACCTCTGCAAATTTTCTTCCCTGTCGACACCTATAATTATAGCCTTATATAGGGTCCAACACAACTCACTGTGTCGGCGACAATACAAGTTGACTACAGTAAATTAGTAACATAACACTGATCGAAAACATAACACCACTAGGCCTACAGTAGGCCTACCGGTAACAGTAGGTCTACTATAATTAAAGTAGCTAAGTCTCTAACTCAATATCATCCAAAGTCATACACGTTGAAAATACGAATTATTTGTCAATTCAAATCAACATTGATGTTGTGATCTTACCAGGAAAAGACAAGCTTCAGATATCCTATGTTTAAGACAGAATAAACATTTTACCATTGGTACACGAATCGTGTACCATAGTGCGTTTTAGCGTCATTTGCAACAAGTGACCTGAAAGAACGAGGCTACACATATTCAACTGGAGAACCCACCTGCTCAATATACTGGAATAACCAGACGCTAGAAATTGCTATAGGGTTGAGACACAGGCCGTATTTCGCTGGACATAACTGATTTGAAATTAAGAGTCAAAATGGAAACAATTGAATCTAAATCAGTTTATATACAATCAGATTACATTATTATATGTGTTGCGACCCATTTGGGTCAATTTCTAGGTCCCAAATATTAGCGATTTAGCTCATTTAAGCCTTGACATTTTACCATTGGTACACGAATCGTGTACCATAGTGCGTTTTAGGGTTATTTGCAACAAGTGACCTGAAAGAACGAGGCTACACATATTCAACTGGAGAACCCACCTGCTCAATATACTGGAATAACCAGACGCTAGAAATTGCTATAGGGTTGAGACACAGGCCGTATTTCGCTGGACATAACTGATTTGAAATTAAGAGTCAAAATGGAAATAATTGAATCTAAATCAGTTTATATACAATCAGATTACATTATTATATGTGTTGCGACCCATTTGGGTCAATTTCTAGGTCCCAAATATTATTATTAGCGATTTAGCTCATTTAAGCCTTGACTGTATCCCCATGCTGATTAGCCAGTGACTAATGTTAATAAGATTATTGATCATGAAAATAACAATAGACTAGGTTATTTCCAATATGATCATAGTTAGATTTACATTTTGTTTTCTTGTTCAACAACTTTGTTGACTTATTTTTAGTTTTTCATCTGCCAAAAGTCTGCATTACTCACCCACTTGTCCAACTTTACTACCCTGCGTTCTAATAAGTATAGGTTATGGATATCACTTTAAAAGAATTAATCTATTTGTCAACATATATAGGGTTAAAATTAAAATTAATGGGTGTAAATAACCAAAATTCCTAAATTTAGGACTGTCAACTCACCAAAACATTACAAACGTGGAAGTACGTGTTACGCATGCGTGCTTATATAGATCTGACTTCCGGTGTAAACACACGTGTGTGTGATGTTTTTGTTTTATTATTGTCGAAATTGTTTTCAACTTATATCATAATAATGAAGGTCGTGGCTTTGATTAGGTAATATTGGCGGTTGGACCTGTCCTCATTTTAGAAATACTACAGATAGTTTATTAAAAAAACACAATCCAATTTACATGGAAAATAATCACTGCCACTGCCCAAAATTTTCCGGACTGAAAGTTGAACTCGACACGGCGAATGTCTCAAGTGATTTCTGGCTAGCTAGTCATGCGGTGAGATAACACTCAGCACTGCGTCCCTAAAACCAGCCAAAATGTCCCGCAATTGTTCACATGCAAGATTTCTATACAGTATAATAATTATTATTATGCGTGAATCTAGTCTCAGGATGATCTATTCAAGTATTACATTACCTTTTCCAAAGATTCGTAGACTAATAATTAGACCTAAACATAATCTACAACTTATAATTCTGTTTCTCAAACATTCTGCACATGCAACACGATTCGTAAGTCTATGTGCGGTCACATGCTTAAACGGCGTTCAGAGTGAGCAGCTCCCTCATCCACGACTCCACAGAAAATAAGAGGGTTTTTGAGCAACATATATTTTTCTGAAATGTCCTGCAATATGATCAAGCAAAGGTGGTCACCCTAATAATAAATAGCCATCGCATGTGAAATTCTCTACACATCTATCAACTATTACAGCCCTAAAAAATATTTTGTTGAGGATTCTGAATAGTAGTCGGGGATCACGTGGCTAAGTGGGTAAGACGCTGGCACGCTGGCTCGCTAGCCTGGAGGTCGGGTGTTCGATCCCTGCATTGGCCGAGAAAGTTCATCCCGATGTTCCGGCGTGGTTTCCCCTTGTCAGTGATGCAGGACGGAGGGCCTGAC